AAATTGAGAACTCCAATACTTCGCTGTTTGGGGAAAAACTTCACAATCAAAGAATCGAATCCGACAAAATTGAAACGATACAGAAAAGATTAGCATGGCCCCTGCGCAAGGATGACACGCACAAATCAAGAAGTGTACCAATCAAAACAACGAGGAAAACAGCCACAGCATGATGCAATTAAGAACTTGTAGCAGTATCTGCAAATAACACGGACCTGAATAGTGACGCTGGCACAGCAAGGAGCTTTTGAACTCCCTGCACATGGCCCCTGCTCTCTCATAATTTGATGGTATGGCTCTCGTTGGCCTCGGCTTGCCCCTCAAGTAAGCTAAAGATGCTCGCCATTTGCCTGCGGCAGTGAGCCGGTGCAACGCTTGAAAATGGTATTGTAATGGGTTCCCTGAAGCATGTGCTGTCAGTCACAGGGCCAATGTGACCCTCACAGAGCTCTCGAGCATAACTCCCAGCAATATAGGATCCTTAGGGTGCTGCCCAAATTCCACACGGTCTACAAGCGCGCACCCCCTCCAGGGCTCGCATAAACTGTTGCTGGCAACAGAGCCCCGAGTCTGCCCGCAGTGGCATGAGCTACAACCTCCACCTGTAGATGCAGGGACCGGGGTGTAAAACGAAGTCTTGATAACCATACTGATGCTGTTTCGACACCACCCACATACCTGACGCAAGGACCGTAAGAAGGCGAAGCGCAAGAACCTGCATGGATCTTGCGCAACTTTGGTGTCATGTTTGGGCTCGAAGCATGCGTGCCCTTGGTGCTGCAGCAGCAGCTCCTGGACTCAATTCAGCCCCTGAGGAGAACTTGTGTACGATGAGTAGAGGGGTGGGACGGTATCCGAACTGCTCTGGCAGCAAGTAGCCCTCGACAGGTTCGACGACTCGCCACGATGCCGCCAGCACCGGTAGCACCGCCGCTCACGACCGTGCTTACACCCCTGCCAAAGGGGACAGGAGACCTTGACTGCTGTGTGGTCTTAAAACCGGCTCGAAGATTTCACAGTGATGATTCATGACTGAGCGACCACAATGCTGAAACTGTAGCAGGCCCCGATTTCCCAGCCTCGGATCTGGCTTCACGGCAGCATTCGTTTCGAAGCGACTCCTGCTGGCAGTTTGCAACAGTTTCTGGAGACTGCAACGGGGCGGATGTAATTTGACCTTGTGTGCTGATCTCGATCCGATGTCACCAGAGCATCAGGGGACAGGAATCGTTTGGGGCGGCTTGGGTTCGTCCTTCTGGAGTGTTCAGGCAGTTTGGTACCGCGACCAAGAACGCTCTGTTTGCCGAGGTGACCGGGGGTCCAGCGCTGGTCTTCGCCATTCGCCGCCCTGGCTGAGGCAATCTGAAGGTGTTTTGGGCACAGAGGCTTGATGAAACGCCGCTGCAGGCATGTGCCGGAAGGCCTGGGATCTGCCGTGTCCGACTCATGTCGGATCCTGCGGTATTGCTTGAGTGGAAAATGATTCCATGACGGGTCTCGACAGCACGCCCTTGAGCAGCAGTGTGTGGCCGTGATAGTCTTCAGAGGGTGTGACATCTGCGCAGGAGGCCAAGGAGGCGGCCTCCCACATGGCTCCTGCGGTTGCACTGAAACTCAAAGAACGCAGCTGTTAAGCCAGCAGGGCTGAGCCTTCGGACTACATCAAGCCTTTCGCATCCTCCTTGAGACCGCAATCTGGGCAGCATGTCGCCGTCACGTCAAAACGATGGTGAGCACAGTAGTCAGTAGTCCCAGTCTCCCAAGAATGCATGCCACGTTTGGCAATTCAGCGTTTGGGCGCTACTCAGGATGAGTTCAAAGCTGCTGGCGCCACTCGCGTGGTTGCTCTGGTGAAAGAAGACCTGGAGAATGAGGTCAAAGAGTTCCGTGCCACCGACGCAAAACACTCCTGACTAGTAGTCCGAGCCCATGCTGCACATTTACCATCGCCTAATCTATCTACATATACTGGGCACGAGTTGTTCTGGTGCTGGGTTGCTGCTTTAACTTGAACGCCAGGCCGGTGTATGAGCACCTAACTACCAGGTTCAGAAAGCTGGCTTTTTCCCGGCGACTTGTACGAATTGTACAAGTATTTCATGAGCTGAACCAGTGAAGCGGCTACTAAGTTGGTGGCTTGGCGGCTTCATGCGGCATCTCTTAAACTTTCAGCAGAACAAACACAACTGATGGTCGGGACACCACGATCCGTCGGCTCCAAGTCGTTTTTGCCAGGGATGCGAGCTGAGGTGAAGGCTTTTGGCCTGGCGAGGTGCTCATGGACTCGGAGCATAAATTCTACAAGGCCTTGGGCGGCGGTGAGGCCCGAAACCCAAGGGTTCGGCTCTCTTCTGCGCATACATGTTCGGCTTCCAATGCTTCTGGCAGACCCACCAGCCGTTGGGACTGCTCTCTTTTCTGGGCATGATGTTGAACCCGCCGGGTCCTCGACTTTTGCGGATCTGTGGATCGGATGCCTCGTCTAAGTCGCTGCTGAGAGCAGAATTCAGCTCCCAGAAAGAGATGGAAAGATGCTCCCATGTCCTCATGCGAACGCTTCGAGGGTGTTGGCTGCTGTTGCCCGTTACACATCGGTCAAAGGTTCAGCTCGAGCAAGACGAAGGCCAACATCAAGAACACGACAACGCCTGGGAATATGACTCCTGGCAAGGGGAGCGGAGGGACCAGTCACTGAAAAGCTCCGCTAAATCGATGGCCTACACAACCATTTCCTTCCGAGGAAGGGCGAGGGCTTCATTGCTGGTGGTTGCTACCAAGATGCAAGCAAGAGTCGCATGGCGCCAGCCGAAGGGCCGCCGGTCAATCTCGAAGCAAGCCGCCGGCATCCGAGCCGCGAGACTTCAAAACGATTGAACTTAGGACTTAGGAGCCAAGCTGCAGGAGAATTACATACTCACGAGCAAAGTGCTGCAGCTAGTCTGCTCGAATCTGAAATTTGAGGCTACGTCTTGAACAAAGACGGGACGCCTGCCTTCAGCCACCTCGAGGAGAATTTGGGAGACCACGCCAAGCCAGAGGACACAGTGGACGGCTTATGTTCCAACTAAACTAATCCAACAACTAATCGCTTCCCCGGATTATCAAATCTTCCCTTTAGTGTCAAATAGTATTTTCGGAACGCATTTGGCCCGGAATGCGCTCGAAGAGGAGGTCAAGACTTCTGAGACTACAGTACTACCAGGCGCTGTAAGTTAATAAGCGGGAGACTGCAGGGATCACCCAAGGGTGTATATAGGGCTGGGACCTATAGCAAACCGCTTGGCCTATATCGAAGCTCTTTGCGAGTTTATGTTTAGGGTTTAGTCCAGCATCCGAAACCCTACGATCGCAAGAGCACATGTGTAATCTCTTCCCCCTAACATGAAACGGGAGGTGGGGTCCCACCCATAAAACATAAACACTCCGAACGTGTTTTTTTGTTAGGGGGCATTTGAATCTCTACTGCCACTTTCGAGGGGTCGTGCTCTTGCTCCTACTCTGGCTCTTGCCCCCGCGCCCTGCTTCTGCTGCGTCTCTTGCGCCTGCTCTTGCTGTTGCTGTCGCTTTTGCTCCTGCCCTTGCTCTTACTCCCCGCTCTTGCTTTTGCTTTGCTTTGCCGCTGCTCTTTCAGTTCCTTCCGCTCGGAATATCCCCAGTTTCCGTGAAGTACGATCGCTTGCGCATCCAACCCTGTTTCGTGCGTGCGTGTGCAGGCCTGTTTGACTAGGTGCCAGCATCAACGCTGCTCGTTGCTTGAAATCCCCGCCAGCCCGCCCAAGATGGGGTAGGGTCGGGAGCACGCCGTTGGTGCGCTGAGTTGCCAGTTTCTGCCCACATCAGCCGTATGGGGGTGACAGCAATACCGGCCTGCGAGACTACCGAGCCAATGTGCTGCTGCCAGGAGGTCTCTGACGGCATTAGACCGCTAGGCCAAAGACTTTGGCAGAGCTTAGGTTTAGGGCCTAGGGATTATCCCAGCCCAGCATCCGAAACCTTAGGATTGCAAGAGCGTGTGTGTGCTTCATACAGATGTAAAGCCCGAACTCGTATCCCAAAATCCAGACCGCACCTGGCATGCTTGGGCGGGGGGTGGGGGGGACTCGGGGGAGTTTGCTTTAAGCGCCCGGCAGGGCCGCTTGCAATATAAGGTCTTTTGAGGAAGCAGCAAGGACGGCACTGGGGTGTCGCATGTGTCGCTTGTGGTCATAGTTCAATTTTCGAGGCCGGGCCTAATTCTTGAAGACAGTTCTGCGAGGCCATCTGGACTTAGCTAGCTTTACCGGGGTCCTGTCTCTTGGACTACACCGCTTTGCGACTGCATTTGCACGGCGTCGGTTTCCAGGACATTGTGGCAGCCCTGCGGCCTGGCTCTACAAACTTGCACCGGGCTGGTTAGGGATATGGGTTAGGGATATGGGCGGAGGGCTGTTGCAGTGCTATGCCGCGAATCAGCGGTTCAGACTCTGACCCAGGGGTCCTCTGCTGTGTGCGCTTCCTTGGACGATACTTGCAGGTCGAGGGTGCACCTCACCTGCCTGTTGATATATGCTCAGGCAAGCTGCTTCGAAGATGTAAGCTCCAGCTTAGAACGGACGCTTGCCTGCAAGCAGCGTCGCAGCGTGGAACGGAGCCCATGACTGCACATCGCTCAGTTCAGGTCGGTGTGCACGCAGCAAGCAGGAATGGCTCAGGAAAAGGCGGCGCGTTTTCGCATGTTCGCAGTTTACCCAACGTCTCGACTGGATCCGATTGCATAATCTGATCTGGTGCCCCCGAGGAGAAGTTGTCAGTTGTCGTTGTCGGGTGTGCAAGGGCGAGTCAGTTCTGCATTGCAGGATGTTCTGCCGTGATGGTGAACTGGGAGGATTTGCACTCAATGAATGACGCAGTTCAGCTTCTTTGGGCGTCTCGGCCCACAGCTGGCACTGCTGATGTATGAGTTGCTTATCAGAGGGTGGATAGCAGAATCTCGGTGGCCCTTACGATTCGTTGCCATTCTCCAAATGTTTTCCATGTCAGCAAGAAAGCTTATCCCGACTTCCTGCAATCCACTTTCTTAGTCCAGTCGTTACACGTCATGTCAGACTCCAGCTGAGAAAGCCCTGCAAAAAAAGGTTCAGAGACCTTTTCAAGCACTATCTTCGCCTTTCGGAAACGGGCTTTTGTGCCACAGGAGCCTGTGATGCTCACCGCAAACTGTACATAGCACGACTGACGTACATTTTCGCGGGATTTTCGTGGAGCACTGCCTCACTGATCATTCATGTATGATGTTTGTAGACGTCTGAGTCATCCGTGACAGAGTGTTGCGAAGCATAGGTGGGTTGAGCATATGCGTTTTCTGCATGTCTTGGTTTGACAGGTGCTTCGGTAGCATCATGTATAGGATGCACAGGAACGCAAAGGCTTGACAGTGTGCAGCTCCCTCAGCACTTGCACAACTTTTCCAAAAGTGCGTGGCGTAGAGCCCACAGGAACGAGCGCTGCCAGTCTGTCGTGTCGGTGGAATTCGTTGGTGACAAAAGCTAAGTACGTGGTAGCTTTGGCATGGCGGCATTGCGTTCGTCTTACGCTGTGCGAGATTGAGCACAGGACAGAGCACAGGCTCATCTGTGAGGCAGCTGAAAATCGGGCAGGTGCCAACTTGCTATTTTCGGAAAGCCAGCCAAGACTCCGACCCTATCCCCGAAACCCATTCGATTGGCACCGTCTTATGGCATCGCTGGCTCTTGTGACCTGAGGACTCCTCCTCTCCTCCGCTGCCGATAGACCTCCAGCTTGCCACTTGCTAGATCCAGCAAACGTAGAATTACTTGGGTTCTTTCGCTCAGCCGACACATGCAAGGCTTTCGTGCCAGTACCTCGGTAGAGGGCTCTGGGTCGGGTTCATGTAGACGGAGTCCGAAGGCTAAGCTTGACCCAAAGGGTGGATGTCATGGAACATGGCGAAGATGGTGACGCGTTGCCTCAAGGAGATGGTTCATCCTTGTCCGAAGGCTCCGAAGACTCGATATCGAATGGCCCGGAAGCCAACCCTTTCATTGAGAGCTGGATCCAAATCCTGATGCAGATGCGAGTTACCAGTCCCCAGGTTCAGCGAGGGATCCCAGTATATCGAGCCTTACAGGAAGCACCTCTAAAGTGGGCCCGCAACGAGCTTGGCGAGATCCATGCTCTGACCCGGACCACGTCGCAGTTTCATGAGTTCTGGTCCCACAGCTGGCGCACCAAGGCATGGTTGAAATATATCAACATCCTGTTCTTGAACAACGGCTTGCCGGCCTTCGTCATTGGCACTCTCTTCGCCCTCACAGCTTTCTTCCTGAGCTTCACAGGGCTGTTGCCAGTTTGGGCAGGTAACGAAACGGGATACGTCTGGTGCACTCCTGCTGGGATCTTCGGCTACTATCTGACCTTGCTGTTCTGGAGGTCAAGGAAGTTGGCGTTTCTTGATATCGCCTGCATAAATCAGAGCGATGGCCGAATGAAGGCGGAGGCCCTTGTCAGCATGGGCGCTTTCCTGAAGGAATCCCAGTCACTCCTGGTTCTCTGGGATGCCACGTATGTCACAAGGCCACTTTCTGAACTCCAAAGTCAATGCTTGACAGGTCGTTGCGCCTTTGTCGTACTGTTTGTTGAGAGGGTCCTTATTAGCTCCGCAAGTTTTTTTGACGGTTCATAAACGCGGCGCAAGGCTGTGGTGCGTCTTTGAGCTCGGAGCGTTTCTTCACAGCAAGGGGCCCGAGGCCAAAGCAGCGAAGTGCCTTCAGGTCTGCCCGGTTTTTGTCGGCCCGGCTTTTTTGGCCGGTCATCTGGGCTTCAGTGTGCTCCTCCTGGTCTTCCTTATCTCCCAGGTGCAGCTCTTTCCGTGGGGTGGGCTTTTACTCGGTGGCCTCGCCTTCCCGTGCTTGGTGCAGCTGGCGGACTTGGTTCTCGCACACTGCCGGAGCATCGAGGTGATGCAACATCAGGTCCGAGATTTTACCATTGAGCAGTCCAAGTCTGCTTGCTGTTCCTGTGGTCATGTCGATGCCAATGGTGGACCGATGCTGTGCGACCGGAGAATAATTCTTCGCTGCATTTCCGCCTGGTTTGGATCTAAAGAGAAGTTCGAGTCTGTGGTGCGAGGTCAGGTTCTGCAAGTTCTGGTCCATCAACTTGCAAATCGTGTCTTCTCGTACTGGCGCATCGTTCAGATCACAGCACCTGCTGGTTGGGCAGTACTTGATATTTGGTGCGACAATTTCAAACGTGGTAGCGTCAGTGTCGATAAAGTTCCAGGCATTCCGACTCCGATGGAGGTGCTGAACATGGTCTACAGCATCATCTTCTTTAATTTCATGCTGCTGCCCATGGGGGCTTTGATTCTGCTTAGATTGGCCTACGCAGCACGTCATGTAGGAGAAAGGCGGTGCACGCAGATACTCCTCTCCCTGGGGCTTGTGAAGGTAGGGACATTGCTTGCCGTTGTATGTATGGTGCTGGAAATAATCACTGCCGACCTCCTGGGCGGGCGACAAGAGAGCCCTGTGTATGCGATCGTCATTCTGTCTACCATGGGCTTGCTCACTCTTTTCTGCTGGCGATGTCTTCCTGCGATCAAGGTGTCAGTTCCAGATGTCAGCCGTCAAGTTGGCCAGTGCTCAGACATCCCGGTCCCTGAATGCTAAGCCTGTGATTCTGCAGGTATCCCCAAGCCTGGTTCCGTCCAGACCCCGGAGGGATCCCAAGGATTCCATGGGAGTTAATTGTGGCTTCAAGTCATACCGCGGGCTCCGTCCGACGATCGTCAGGATGAGCTCGGTGGTCAGATTTTCCTGCATATATACACACACATGCTGTAGATATCTCGAGGTCCGATTCGGGTACGCACCTTGGGTTCCACATGTATACAGGTGTGCTCGGACGGATGTGTGGACTATTTTAATCGGCTGCACATCGTCCAAGGATTTAGATTGTGTTGTGCTGTGATGCCTCGCGAAGGTGAGGGCGTCGGGTTCCAGGATTTGGTTTTTCGTGCTGCGACGTCGCCGACTCTGCAATGCTGTCATGAATTCTGTTTACGGTTTCGGCCCGAACATCTTTTTGGGTATCATTTTCTCGGCACGTCAGGCGCTGGAGGAGAGGAGTCTGTTGACTTCAAACATTTGACGATACAGCTATGCGAACGGTCGGACAAAATGGACATTGTGGATCGTTTCTGCCACTGAGTGAGCCTGTCGCAGAGCTGACGAGGAATATTAGAGCATGACTGCCCGAGGCTGCATTTGCCGGGGCAGGTGTGTGTGTGTGTGTGCGTGTGTGTGTTGGTTGTGTGTGTGTGTGTGTGTGTTTGTGCGTGTCTTATACTGACCAATCGAGCCCACGGGGGAAACCTTTGAGTCGTGCCAAGCTACCTGACATCTTTGCAGCTTCTGCCAGCTGTCGTTTTCGGTTCAATGTGTTTCAAAGGGGTTGCCAAGATGCTGCAACAGTTGGTTTTTCTCGATACCGAGTCAAGTCTTTCATGGCATTCCGCACCCGTACCTCGTCCAAGGGAAGTGTGTAAGCCAGTTCTTAAGCTGCCTAAACACTTGGTGGAGACTTTGCATTTTTTTCCAGCGATGTTGGGCCCGGGCCCTCGGCCCAAGCGGCGCCGCTTCGAGTTTCAGCCCGGCGATGTGGTGGTGAAGATCCTGGTGACCCCGGCTACGGCTAGCAAGATCATTGGCACGGGCGGCGCCGAGGTCAAAGCCCTCAGGGCCCAGAGCGGGGTAACCCTGCACATTTGGGAAAACAAGTTCATGGGCACGGGTCTCCAAGTTGTGGTCCTAGGAGGTCCGCGACCAAGTGTAGACCAAGGCCTGGCATTCGTGATGGAGAAGTTGGCGGAGGAAGCACTGTCGGGCTCAGGTGAGATTGTCGCACAGCTGTTGCTAACTCGCAACACCGTGTCTAAGATCATTGGCGCCAAAGGCGCGAACATCCAACAGCTACGGCAGGAGTTCGGTTGCCACATAGAGGCCGAAAAGCTTACCCACAACGGAGAACAAGTGCTGAAGGTCAACGGGCCGAATGAGATGCTGCAGCAGCTCCGTCTCAGACTCACCGAGCTCGTGGAAGGGTCTGGGGATTCCACGCAAGTCGCCAACAACGAGTATGGCACAGATGCAGGCTATGCCGGAACTTGGAAAGGCAAGGGTTCAGGTCCCAAGGGTGTTTTCGGTGATTTTGGCGGCGGTGGCAAGGGGGGTGAATTTGGCGGAGGCAAGGGGGCTGAATGGGGCGGCGGAGGCAAAGGAGCTGACTGGCACGGTAAAGGAATGGGGGCCCTGGGCCCAGCTCCCATGGCCGGAGGCGCCGGAGGCAAGGGCCAGAAAGGCTTCGACGGCTACGGGCAGGGCCAGTACGGGCAGTACGGGGCCCAGGAGACGCCGATGGAGTTCCTGCAGGCCGAGCAGGACCCGGCGGTGTTAGCCAGCGTCTCCACCATCCAGTTCGCGATCCCTGTAGAATCCGTGAGCCGTGTTTTGGGCAAAGGCGGCATCTACTCAAAGGAGATCTCCAGGCAAACGGGAGCCAAGTTGGTGATTGACCCAGCCGTTCCGGGGGCAGAGACATGCGTGGTGACCTTAACTGGTCAGGTGGGCGGCGTAAACCGTGCCCATTGCATGGTCGTGTCCCGCCTCCTCGCACAATATTAGCCTGACAGTGGAAGTGAGCTAGGAGAACTGCTGGTGGAAAACTGCAGAATCAAGGTCTAACAGCTCATTTGAAATCAGCTTGTTCACCGAACCCACTCCTTGTGTCTGGGTTGGCTTGGCATCGTCTCGAAGGTCTGGTTACTGGTTGCCGGCATCCTGCCACAGCAAAGGGCACAACAAGACAAGCAATGCAATTGAGGATACGTTTACACAGAGACGGATGCTACGTGGCTTAAGACGTAAGCCATTCAGACTTGCACCATCTAGCACCCAGCTGCCACATGCCCCGAACTCGTCCGATTATGGGCAACCTGGGGCGCAGGCAGAGGTCCGGTCCAATTTTCGTTGCTGATTGGTGCCAGTTTGTGTTGCTCCAATTTGTGCGTACCGCAGCGATATTGCTGGATCAAAGCCCGGGAACGAGTCCACCCAGAGGTGCTTCTCAAGTTGGAACACGCTGTCTGCCATGCCATGTTAACATTATGTTAGAACCTCAGAGCCTGAACTAAGATGGGAACAGGCGTTCTTGTATTTGCCGTGCTTGTCTTTCCTGTCGCAGGGAAACCTTGACAGTGTGACATCAATCTTCAGATCTGCATCGCCTAATTCGATCAGCCTGCATGTTGCCCTAGGGTCCACATCCTGTAAGAAGCACGGAAAGTTTCAGGCCTCTCGCTGTCTTGACGGCCCAATTTAGCAAGCAGATGATGTGGACCCAGAGGGTTGCTCTTTGCATGGTTCGTCCGAGAAAGACCGTCCATTAAAGCACGGCTTAGCTGCAGAGGCCCCTGAGTTGACAAGCTTGGATGTGGGTCGGAGTCTGTCTATCCGCTGGCGACAGGATGCGAACCATTGCGAACCCATGGCTTTGAAGCTTTGGATCCTTCGGCGAGTCGTGCTGTGTGCCCTGATCCGCAGATGCTTCTCGGGAGCCACGGCAGTGCTCCAGACGGGGAATGCGCCGGCAGGAGACGGTTGCAAGACGATGCAGTTCTAGGGCCCGGCTTGGTGCGCAGTGATTCTGAGGTAGAGGTCTCCAAAAGATGGTTGATTGAATTCCCTGCAGGAGAGATGCAGACATCCAAGCCGAAGCAAAACATCTTCTGAGCTCATGGCTTCGCCACGAGGACACGTCAGTGATGTCTCTGTGCTTCGCTTCGGTTGAGGGTTTCACGTCGGCATTGGTACTGTAAGAATCGAGTCAGCCGAGAGCGTCACAGCAAAGGAGGACTCCGCCGACCTTTTGCATCGCAGAACACAGTCTGTGGCTTGGGCAAACATGTTAATTAATCGCTTGAACAATTGCTCGACCTCGACTGCCACATGTTGACTTGACTGCATCAGTCATGTGACGAAGAAACGTGGGTTTAGGGTCTAGACATATCTAGACCTGAGCTTAGCAGCTTGCCTTGGCAGAAGAGATGCAACAACTCGGAACAGGTTGTGACATTCGTGAGCGTGGACGGCAGAATAGGGGGGGGGGGGTTGAGTTTGAGTCATGAGCCAGCTCACTTTGCGTTTTCACATTGGTGTCTGTTGGGTGCATACACGCACGATAAGTTCCGCTTTGATGGGAGGCTGTGTTCATCTAGTGCCTGCAAGGATTCCAAGCTCCGGCCAACCAGAGACTCTGCAGACTCATTGTCCATGCCGGCGCTGCTGAAGAGCTCTTCACGACGGACCTCCACGGACCTGTACAGGAAAGTCGAAGGAAAGTTGAAGGAGCCTAGGCCGCCTGAGGCCCTTAGTATGCTCCACGTTGGCGCTTTCGTGTTTCTGTGTAGCCTTCGTTGTGGACTGCTGTTTCGCAAGCCCAGGAAGTTCAAGGCCATGCAGATGCAGCTTTGGCAGCGGACGTAGACGTCGCACTGCGTTGTTCCTTGGCACTGCAGTTCCACATGCTTCCCGGGACTAGCAGCAATTCTAGAGTCGCAGCAACAACCAAAGCAGAGCAGAGTCGGCCAAACCAGTTGCGATCAATCGCATTGTATCGAACTATAGGCATGAGAATGCGGCTTGCAGAAGCAGAACAGGTATACCTCACGTGCCTCGCACTTGGTCGTCTGATGGCTCAACTTTAGAACCCGAGGCCTTGCGAACAGGAGGATGGAAAAGGCAGAGGAGCAGGTGCAATGAGCTGTCCGCAGAGTCCTCCTTCGCCATGCGTTCGGCTTGGTTCCATCGCATTTCGGTTGCCCTCGTGGGAGGCACGTGCCAGCGCAAAAGCCTTGAGCCGGCCCAGCAGCAACTGGGCAGCCTCATTCAGACTGGACATGCCCAGTCAAACCCATCAGTTTGCTCGTGCAGGTAAGCCACTGCCTCCTGAAAGGGATCCTTTTCTGCGAATGGAGGCCGAGCTGTCGCAGAAGTTGTGGATTGAAACGAGCATGGAGGTTACGCGCCTTTGCAGGCGCGCCACCGTGCACTCGAAGAGCGCCGCCGTACTGTGGAGCGCCGAAGCGGCAGCGGCACTGGCGGTGCGGAGCAGGCAAGGAATGCCTGCAATATCATGCGCAAGCCTTTGGTCACGACGGAATGGGACCTGAGCAGCGAGCAGGCTCGTGAAGCCAAGGGTCCCCCTAAGCCGCCGAGGACGTTTTCCAGCATTTACCAGTCATGCCTCAAAACATCAAGATTCCTTTGAGGATGATCCGTCAGCGCTCCAAGACAAGGAAGAGCACCAGCGGAGGGCGGCAGAAACCATTGGAGGTCGCTCGAAGTTGTCAGGAGCGACCCATTTAAAGGCCCATTTGCCAGCCTTTTGTACTCTTGGTTCCAGTACAGCTGCAGGACCTGGAATCAGAAACTGCCAGTCTTGATGCAGAAGTGGCGAAAGCCAGGGAGGACGGCTGGCTTTCTTTCGTGATGCAACCACAGCTGCCATCCCTGCGCAGGAGATTGAGCGGGAGGTCAAGGCAGTACGCGAGCTGCATGCAGCAGAGCAGGCCAGAGCTCGAAAGGCGTCTGAGGTCAGGAGCCTGGAGCAGCAGCTGGAAGAGGCCTGGACCGGAAACTCAACAGTTCCATAGTGCATAGTGCACCGGGCCCAGGGATGCTATGTGAAGGGTTGGGGATTCGAGACATAGGCCGTTAATCAAGGTCCGAGGTCCTGTACATGCCTTCCCATGGGATTCCGTGGGCATCTGCAGAGTGGAGAGGTCCAGCAGCAGAAGGACGCGGCCAAATCAGCACGGCGTGAAAGAGCTGGGGCGGAGTTTGGCTCTTTACTGGACGCTCTCTGGCAGAGAATGATGCGGGCGCACTCCCGCTGGGCATTGCATCACCTAAGTGACGCCAGCAAGATGCTGAGGAGGAAGAGTAGGATTATTTCCAGTGCCCACTGCACGTTCGTCTTATCGGCGTGTGCGCGTGTTTGGCGTGAAGTGGCTTCATCTGCAATTGCGGACCGTCAGGCTGCACAGCACGTGGAAGTCATGCGTCGAGCACGGGAGGGGGCTCGGCTGGCAGATGCTCACTACATGAGGCGCTTGGCTTCCCGAAGCTGGCTTGCATGGCGACTCGAAGTCCATCACGTGCAGACCGAGAGATCCAAAAAGGCAGTCTCTGCAAGAGCCTCTGCTTTCCTGAATGCCCTCGCCCTTTCCGCTGACACCGACCCTTCACAGGCGCAAGTGGCCCCAGATGCGGCAGAGCATGTCGAAGCGTCCGAAGCTGCAGAGGCAGTGATCTCGAATCAGGTTGAAGATGGCCCGCCAGAGACCAGCCCGACTGAGACTAACACAGAGACAGCAGAGCAGGCCACACCGGTACAAGCTTGCAACTCGCGTGAGGCACGTCCTGCCTCTCGATCACGGGAGCTGCGTGCAATAGAGAGGCGTGTGCAAGAGAGACGGAAAGCACAGGAAGAGAGGCGGCAGCAACGACAAAAGAGACAGGTCGAAGAAGCTCAGCAAGATTGTGTGGACAGTGACAGGTACCAGCAAGCAATTCCCGATCCCGCAAGACGCCAACAGGAGGGGACGCAGGCGGCTTCCGCACATCCCGGTGCCCAACAAGAGGGGTGTGGTCCAAGCCTTCCACCTGTGGCCAGCAATAGCCATGCAAAGCCAAAGGCCTTGCGAGAGATGGAGAAGAGGGCGGAGGAGCGACGCCTTATCCACGAGGAGCGGAAGAAACGCCAGAAGGAGAAGGAGGAGGAACAAAAGCAGAAGCAAGCTGAGGAGGAACAGGAGAAGCGCCTGGCAGAGGAGCAGGCCAAGCAGGAGCGCCTGCGCTTGCGCAAAGAGCAAGCCCAGGAGCAGCGACGCCTTCGGGCACAGCGGCTTGTCGCAGCCGCAATCAGACGAGATCGTGAGCGTCAGGCTGTGGAACTCTACAGGCTTCATCAATACATTCGGGTTTGGTGCGCCATGCGCCAGGCCGTCAGTCATACGGCCTTTTGGGACCTACTCGCCTTGAACCGGTGGCGGACAGCTTTGCTGAAGACTTGCTTCACAAACTGGCATCGGTATCATTTGCATGCTGTAGCGGCGAAGTCAGCCGCACGACTTGCCCGAGCTCATTTGGCGGTGACCTGGTTTGCACGGCGCTTCGCCTTTCGAACGCTCGTGTCGTGGCTGAAGAAACTTCAATTGGCCAAGCTCCGGCAGTATTGGGCAGCAGTTGCGGCTTCGCGGCGGTGGTGTCTCTGCCTTTGGCTGAGATGCTGGGCACTATGCTCTGCAGAGTCGGCTTTGCAAAAGACAGCCACCGCTGTGCGACAACATGTGCAGCTTTTGCTGAGAAGAAGCTTCTCTTGGTGGCAGACTGGTCTCAAGCAGCTACGCGTGGAAAATGCCATGGAGTCTCACAAGAGCGCTCTGCGAGACAGAATTTCCAGCTGGTTGCAGGAGATGGAGGACGAAGGGCCAAACAGCCTGGGAAGTCTCCACATGCCGAATTTTCAACTCTTGAATGTGCAGGGAGAAAAGGGCCGCGGCTCGCGTGGAGCAAGTTTGCGCTGGGTGTGATTTGAATTCTTTGCCAGCATCACCAGTGCCCGCAAGAACAGATCCAGACTTAGATCGTGAGAGCAGCGAGAGTGCAAGAAAGCTCCGGACAAGGTGATGCGTGCTACTGGTAGTAAAGCAGGAGATGGGCTCAATGGCGACGTTGCCAGAAGAAGCGCCTCCGGCATCGACAAGGCGCCAGAAGTTGAGTTCGCTATCAACTTTGCTAGCATTAGCTTTTCTTGCGACTAGGCAGTCCAAATGAACCTCTTATATATTCGCCTATATAGGAGCAAGTTTGAAGCTTTTTTTTTATCTCCCCTGAGCCTCTGCGAGGTCCGCCGTTGCGCAAGCCTGATTGGCCGGCACGGCCGAGGCCGGGGCCCAAGCTAAGCTACACAAACCGACCGAAGACTATGATGGGGACGCTATATGAGTGAATCGGCACAACTAAGAAATTCACAAGCCCACTTGCTTCGACGGGTACTCGTGGCTCAAGCATGGGTGTATCAAGCAGCGAGGCTGGCCATGCGCCGCGCGGGCTTGCTGCAGTGAGGGACCAATCTCGGCGAAATCGGCGATGTGTTTCGTGCACACTCCTGTATGCTCCTGTGCTGCAGCGCCGCAGTGAGGCGCAGAGAAGTTCATCAATACAAGGCTCACGCACCGGGTGAGCTGTCATTGGAGCGTCGGAGATGCGTGGAATCATGCCCATGGACATGGAGTTGGGTTCATTTAAGTTCATTTGGTCCAGAAAAGGTCAGCTACGTCTCTGGCCGCTCGGCGGCTCCAAGCTCAGCAGTCGCGGCTCCAGAGTTGTACCTGTCAGTCCGCTGTCAATGCTTCTGCTCTTGCAAAGTGCTGCTTGCCAAGTCTTTCCCTGCGCGCTTGCACCGGTGCGCCAGCCGAAGTCTAACCAGTTTGGGAGCTCGCTTTGAACAACTGGTCCACATAGGTCTTGATGTACCGACCTGTGTCCAATTTGCGCTTTGCAGCTTTGGATCACTTAATTGTCGCCACGATGTGGTGCACCATGTGCAGCCCCAACGATCTGTAATTGCAGTGCTATGATGTGCCATGCATACGGCAAGCAGCACCAAGAAGGCATCGTGTACTTGTAAGGCGCAAAGGCGGTCAAAGCTATTTAATGGGGCCTACTCCAGCGCATGACGCTTATGCCCACAATCTGGCCGGATGCCCAACCTGAACACGGAGGACCAGCTGAGCCCGCAGCCAAGGAGTGGGTCAAGGACCAGGGAGTGCCAGCGGTGCTTTACTGATTTGGCCAAGCACCAAGGTCAAGTTCTCAAAGATGCTGCCCAGCCTGTGGATATCTTGGATCCGAAAGTGCTTCGCTCAGCATATTGAGCACAGTAGTTGCATATAGTGCACAATGACTGAAGCTGTCTTGGGTCTGAGGTGGCAACAAAAGCCGCGTAGGTAGAACAAAAGTCTTAAACCACACCCTGAACATGGCTTTCTCAAGGTGTGGGGTCGGCATGTGTTCGGCATGTTTCTACCAACGTACTGGTAAAGCCGTAGTCTCACGTACGGTTTGCCCCCGACGGATGGACTTACAAACAGACCTTCTCCACGAGTTGTTTGTAGCGTGCGCGAGGTCGCAGCATTGCAGGCCGTGGCCAAAGCTGCACAGGCAGGATCGGGGAAGGCAGAAGCACAAGCAGCACAAAGGCCGTGCAATGCGGCAGTTCTGAAAGCTGTGAGCACAAGCACAAGCATTGATTGTCACAGCAGAACGGGCTGTGTTTTGGCAGTGGGCACAGGGCATGTCCTTTCGGCTTCCGTTTCAGGCGGCCGAAGAGCTTCGAGGAGCGGCTGTGAACGAATACGAGCGGCCCTCGTGGCAGCACGTGGCGAAAGTTTCTTGGTGAGAGTTTCATGCGGCGCCACAGTCGAGAACCGCATGCATCATGATACACACAGAGACATGCCTCCATGGTGCACAGCAAGGCTAAGCATTGCAATCCCTGCCAGGGCGACGTTTACAAGCAGCTTCACGGTTCTGAAACGTGTACCCCGTTATGCATATGATCATGAACTTTAACTGTGATGGCAAGTTATATTCTCCATCGACGTGCTGCAACAACCCCGCCTGACACCGTACATAAGGAGTCAACTGCCACTGTTGCGCAAAATGCAGGAGTTCAGGAGTACCAGAAGGTCAACGACTGGGTGGCTGCGAACCCTTTCTACCGTCCCTACTTCGTATCCGGCTCGAAACTTAGACTGCTTCGTTGCTGCGGTGGCTTTTTGAGGTACGTCCGAGATCTTGCAGCAACGAGAAAGGAGACTTGCTATCAGCAAGCCGAACCCTTAAAGATGCGAGGCTAATGGTTTGCGCCGTAACTCACACAGCAGCAGAGTTCGGCGGTCGGCCAGGTCTGGTATACTGTACGTCACTTTTGCATTACTTTTACGCGAGTTTATGGCAAGCAGGAAAGCAGGCAAGAAAGACTCGCATGGATGTTTGTCAGCGGCGATAAATCGCAAGTCTGGTTTGATGAGGATAGATGCTACTGTACCAGCACTAACCACAGCTCACATGAGCGACGGTTCCTGAACCGGAAAGACATGCAGTACATGGCGCATATGGCGCATAATCGCTCTCCCAGAATCGGGCAAAGTGCGCTTGCACTGCTGTGCAGGTGTACAACCCGCCGTCATCGAAAGCCCGCCCGGTGTCAGTGGCTGAGACATGCTGAGACTGCAAAAAGCATTGGTTGACCAAACTCATGTCACTGCAAGTGCAAAGCTCAGGTGATGGGGATTCTGGCCAGGACTGGTGGATTGAATTTGAGGTTGAGGGCGGGCTGCAGAGTAACGGAACGAGGCTTGGAGATGCAAGCCAGGACCAACCCCCTTGCAGCCTGGCATGCCGCAGAGACTGTGCGTATGGCAGCAGAGGCTTCGCTCTTGCCGTTCTCTTGATTGTTGTAAAGTCACTGCACTAGCGATTCAGTTTTGGATTAGATTGGGTCGTACTTGTAGTAGAGGGCATCAAAGGCGGCAAGCGTCAAGCAAGGTTTCCACCTGGAAAGCTTCCGTTGTTGAAGCTTGGTGGAAGAGATCGTTCATTCAGTCATGTTCAACTGAGCATCGAACGACAAAAAGCTTTGTCTGTGAAAGCCTAAACGTCTTCGTCTACGTTCGTTGCACTTTGTGTTAGGCTGGCTTGCTTGTTGTACGGACACGCACGCACAACTTTACGTAGTTTTCGGCCTCGTTTCGACTCAGACAGCTGGTTTCGGACTCTGCTTGGCCGGGGCTCGCCGCGGTTGGTTGCAAGCACAAAGACCAAGTGGCCGCGCAAGAGTGCCGAGAAGAAGGGCCCACCTCAATCAAGCCTAGGGCCTCGGGCTGGCCCCACAGGCCGGAGGGAGAGTCCCTTCTTCTGGCAGATCGAGAAAGCCGGGAAGGAGATCAGAGCTCTCCCAAAACCTTCTGTTCAGACGCAAGGCCTCGCCAAACAAGGTTGCCGGATGGGGGCCTCGCAAAGCCGAAAGTGCTGTCGCTTGACAGTTTAAGTTGCATGCTCGCGATTTGTGGAGGATGGGGTATCTCCGATCCTTTGGCCATCTCTGGCCTTTCAATAACAAGAACGACAGCACCGGGCAAATACGCTTGCAAGTTTCAAAAGCCAACGCCGGCACGTGCAGGAAACGACAAGCAAGAGAGAAAGACGTCTCGTTATCAACTTGCTAAAGGGAACATGATTAGAAACACGACGAGGCATCTGTGTCAGGTACACATGCCAAGTACAAACGGCATCATTCTGGCAGGATTTCCTTCCGGGTGGAGACCTTTATCATCTGCGTGATAAAGGCGGAAGCTGAAACTCAGGGTTGCCGTAGAAGGTTTTGTGCAGTTCTAGTGGGGGGCAGCATTTACCTTGAGATCCCTGTGTGGCAGCTTCCAAAAAGCAGCTGCAGGCCCAGCCCTCGCTGAGCAGCCCCGGCCTAAAGAGCTGAAGAGAAGAGCGGGAGCGGGCCACGGCGGCCACGGCGGAAGCGTGTCTTGTCAGGTTCATGTCCTCGGCCTCGCTGCCTCCCGAAGCTGCGCTGATCTTTCCGGCCTTGGACAGGGCCTGCAGGCCAGCCGCGATGGTCAGCCGCCTTCTGCTTACCGGCCTGCTTTGCCCAGGCAGAGGCGGCAGAGATTTGGCCTGCATGGGGCCACCTGGAAGCTGCAGACTATTTTTTGTAGTTGGCATTGAAGTTGGCAGTACTTCTGAACTGACTAATCAATCAGTAAAACGGCCAAAGAGCAGCCTCTAGTCATCTGGGTCCGTCACTCCAGGTTCTTGTTGATTTTTTACTTGTACGTTACAGTGCTTGTCCTTGTCCGTGTGGCAGCCCCGAGACGAACATTCAGTGGGTTGAGGCGACTATGGCGCATGGGTTCTTGTGAGACTGCATGGCATCTCCTTGAAGCGCTCCTGTACACAACACTAATGACCTTGGTGCTACTGTATGCTGGCCCCACAGTTTCCAACGAGGAATTCGGGGCCAGTCTAGCTTCTCATGCTTCCTCGACGATGGTCGGCGACCCTCAACACGCGACCGGCGTGTAGAGATTGAATGGCAAAATGCATGCCTTGCGGTGTGCTTGAACTACATGTGTCAAGAAGCTCTGTGAGCGGCATGCCAAGATGACTGAACCCAGTCGGCCTGTCTTGTATCTGCGACTTTGCTAGCAGGGCTGAGTTTCCTGGCTCTTGTCCGAAGATTTCGAGGTACTACAAACAGCGTTATACGCTCTTCTCCAGGCTGGAGCCCCAGATGTGCCTTCCAAATGAACCCGTTTTCAAATCTCTGTTACACACAACATCACCAGAAAGACACTCTCTTTCTCTGACATGCATGTGGACACCCAGTAGATGTGCCATGTCAATAGAGTCGTTGGTATACCCGTACACAATCCGTGCACATGTCGATCTGTTGGAAGTGTGTTGGTAGTATGTAAGTGTTGGTACTTGCACGCTCGTCTCTACACCCATCCGTGCAAACCCACGCACATTCCTGCAGATGCACGAAATCCACACAGACTCGGCAACATACCGACACGCACTCGTGCACACACACTCACACAAATCAGCTGAGAGATGAGAATGACGATCCTGCTTGTAGAGCTGGAGTGTTGGGTAGATAGTGAAAATGATATGAAGATGATGATGGGTTCGTAAATTTATGCTCTCCACTGAACACGAAGGTTGCCGTAAATTCTTGCCTTTTCGGCGATCTTTGAAGTGAAGCATGAAACCGCAGGTGCGCCAAGCTGCCCGAGAATGGTCTGCTGTGCATTCAGCTACCCGGATTCCCAGATGCACATCCCATCCCATCGTCGCCACGGGCACGATGACGTACTTTTCCTAATCGTTCAACCATTCTGTGACGAATGATCATCCAACTCTGTATCTTATACCGGGCATGCTGCTCTGATGTGTTCAATTCATGAGGCCTGCTACCACAGTAGAAGAATCCATAACCAGCACGGATTCACAAGAGAAGAACCCCAGGGCTTGACTGTACGGAACATATTGTGCCGAGGATGAAATGAAACAATGCACGGTGTAGATCTGCGTGCAAGGGGATTCTGCGCTTCGCCACGCGCTTCCAAATTTGTGGGTACGTCAAAGGGATGTCTCCGCTTGAAGTCCAACACTCTTAGTAGCAGAGTGTGGCACACATATAAGAAGCCTTTACGGCTCGCGTGGTGCCTGCATGGGTCTCTTCGCGGTGGAGCGGTGATCCTGGCTCTTGGCCCGCCTAGAAAGCTAGGGTCCTGGCTCCTGTTGGGCTTGAGTCTCGGCTTAGAGACTGACAGACTTGCGCTCTCTGTCTATCAACGAGAGAGGAGAAGCCATTTTCATAGGTACTTACTAAAGACCTGCTCTGATACTATCAGGTACGACCATGGCATCGAGATTGACAAGGCCAGCCATCTGATGCTCTTGCTGGCTCACTTCACGAGTCTCACCGTCGATTACCACTGCCCACAGCCTGGAGGATATGTGGTATTCAGTAACACCAGAGCCGATTGCCAAAGAGCAGGCTCGAAAGGCCTGCAGCATTGAGCATTCATGGGTCGCCAGGTTTCGTGGTGTTTTGAGCCGTGTGCTCGAATGCTCTTCTCTTTGAAGGTGGCAGCTGCACAGAGAGGCCCGGGCTTCTGTGGTACATGTGCGGGTCACTTGAAAGAGGCTGAGTCTAAAAGCCCGTGCGCCTTTGTTGCGGCGCCGAGCTCCAAAAGGCAGACTCCTGCCCGTGGGAACTCAATGAGTTTCTGCGTCGGGCAGGGTGTAGGCTCGAGATGGGCCTTCAAAGGCCCTATCGCCCGAGGCCCTAGGCAAATCAACGCGTTCGCACTCACAGCTTTGCTTGGGACATCATCAGCCATTCCCCGCGCTCGGGCTCAGACTGTCAGGCCAGCCAGGAATCGTTGTTGACAGCTTCTGTGGTGCTGGCGGGCCTGTCACCCAAATCGGAGTGCTTGCGTAGACCACAAAGAAGAACGCTGTAAGCACAGCTGGACACCCCGCAGGCAGGGGCTCGTACACTCATTACACAGCCCGCGAGAGAGGGAGGAAATCGGCCGAAGTTGCAAATCTAAGTCTGAAGTCCAGCCAGTGCGATTCTGACACGTGCCTTCGCAGGTTTGAGCAATCCCAAAGTCTGCAGCCTTTGCCGCCATGGCGCTGCTGTCCACGGCCGATCTCCGTGAGGAGTTGAAGCATTTTGCCCCGGACCCAGACACACACCAATGGGTCATTTTCCGGAAGTTCCATCCTTTGTCCCTGTCCCGGACTTGACACCAGGCTAGCACTGCCATTCGCGAAGAGTTAGCCACGCTGAAGGCCTCTGTGTGCATGCTTCGGAAGTTGCCAGTGCCTGGATTGGGAGCAGTTGGGCACAGGCAAGTCTCCTCAGCGAGTTGGGCGCCGTGGAATGTGAGCAGGCCGAGTGTAGCAGTGATTACACAGGTGTGCGGCAGGGCACACAAACACAAACACACACACACACAGAGAGACAGACAGAGAGAGACACGGACACACACACACACACACACGCACACACACATACATATATATATATATATACACACCACCCACACACCCACACACACCCACACACACACACATACACACACAGAGACAGAGAAACACAGACACAGAAACACACACACACAGACAGAAACACAGACACAGACACACAGACACAGACACACACACACACAAACACAGAGAGACACAGACACAGACACAGACACACACACACACACACTCACACACACAGACACAGACACAGAGACAGACACGGACAGAGACAGACACGGACAGACACACACACACACACAGAGACACACAGAGACACACACACACACGCGCGCGCACGCACGCGCACACACACACACACACACAGACACACACACACACACACGCGTGCGCACACACACACGCACACACGCACGCACACACACTGACACACACACTGGCACACACACACACACAAACACAGAGAGACACAGACACAGCCACAGACACACACACACACACGGACAGACACACACACACACAGAGACACAAACACACACACACACAGAGACACACACACACACAGACACACACAGACACACACACACACACACCCGCACACACACACACACACCCAGGCAGACACAGACACACACAGACACAC